TGCATATGTACCCATAATTACTAGTGAACCTTAAAATGGCAACTAAATTGAGACAAAAACTTTGCTCACAGTGTACGTATTTTAATGTGTGAAATCACCGTTGCGGGAGAGACGCATGTCTGGGACTCTAGGAATTACATTGCATTCCTGGCATCTCGGAGGCCTCTGCACTTGCGGTGATCTTGGAACACAAACCGTCGAATGAGTAAGATAACACTACCAACAAGGCGCATGGGGGTTCCGTGTTTCAGGACTTCTGAGCAGTGTCCCAATAAAAATATCATTTTCAACCTCTTCTAAATGTTTGTCCCTACTGTGCCAAATTTTGTTTTTGTTCCAGTTTGTTTAAATGAAAACCGCAAGATTAACAGTGACGACCCCGCGTGTGCATTAGTAGCTACTGGTCGGAAACCGCTACCTATGAGACGCGCTACATAACGCCTACATTGTTGAGCTTCTATTAGACACACCATGGCACAAGACCTGGGACCGATTAATGTATTGATCTACCCGTATTGCACAAAAACTCCATGCAGCAACGCTTCTAGTCTTCCCAGACTCACTCAACTGTGTCATACACTTTGAGGAGTGCGTCAGCTGCCAGCGACAGTATTTCGCAAACACGAAGGGAGCAAATCGACTTACTTAGGTTTTATCCGTGATTTTGAAGAAGAATAGCACGACCATCTCTCCCAAAGGAGAGAGTTCCACACACCTCGAAACACTTTAAGTTCTTATCAAGGCCATTTCCGGCGCCTGTTAGTATATCTGTGAACTGCAGTAACATATTTGACATAATGGTACAGAACAGTTTTAGTGAAGGATTTGAAAGGGTGTATCGTTTTCTTCACCTGAATGGGCGGAATTAGCTATTGTTTGGTAACGTGCACAGATCGCGCATGTCACTCCCCGCTGGAGGACCCTATGTTTTATTCATTTCCTAAAATGTGTCTGCAGAATGAGGCGCATGACAGCTGGAGGGGATTTATAGGCTTTCAGCAACGGCACTTTACGTGACTACTTCGAAACGGAGGGAGAAAACTGAAGAAAGCTTTTGCTTAGCTTCAGAAAATCGTCATACTCTATTCTATCCTATTACCCTCGCTATTATCCTATCCTATCTAATCCACCCTACATTTCTTTGTTCATAGATTTTACCCTTTATTTGTCTACACTGACCGCAATGTGTTGAATTTTATGAAAGCCACAAAAACATTAAAACACACTGATCAACTATCCATTCTAATGGCCAGTCAACTGATTTCATAGCCATTCCAACGAACGATCGAGTGATGCAGCCGATCATCTATGTAGCAGGTGTAAAAGAGTGTTGCCCGAGGCTCCTGTCCACATGCAGATAACAGCTTGATGAATCCACGTTGCATTAAAGTTATTCATGCTTGTACTGATCAAGAATCGGTAGTTTTAATGAAATAAACTGGCGGTAGAAGGCTCAGTGGCAGTGTCGTGGCGTTTATATTAAAAATATTGACATAAGAAATTGGTAAATTGCAATCTGTGCCGAAAAAATGAATACAGACCTGAGACATTGTAATAATGTTTCAATTCAGAGATCGCGTGTTTGTGTTAGATTTAATTCGGTCTTGTGGGGTATGAATGCGTTCTTAAGCCACTCGAGCTGCCTTATCAAGTACGAGAAACAAGCTTTTGCGATAGTTGTGCTTTCTGCTACGTACTGAAACATGTTTATTATCTGCAACCAATAGTACAACGTTAACAACGTGATCGCAAACCTAAAGAAGGGAGAGATTTTCAAGCTTCTAATTTCTTTAGCCGTCCACACTAAAAGCCAACACTTATTGACCAGTAACATGGTGGTAACAACAAGATAACACGTGGAAACTTTTGTAAGTGTCTGGAACTGTTAAAGATTTAGCCCAAGATAGCCAAATTTTTGCTAGTCGGCAGCGTTTGCGCACATAAAATAAGCTTTTTCAGTCTAGTCAGCACAGAGTTGCTGGATGTAAAATCTCATGGTAATCTCCTGAATAACGTGCTTATGAAAGATTTTCTGAGGGGAAAGAATGACACATGGTGAGCAGGTGCCTTACAAAGTAACTTATGTTTGCAGAGACACATGTGCGCGCTGGGAATATTCAGTCGGTCGTTAATAGTTCCACTCCAAAGAGGAAGAAACTTCGTCATGGATTTCAAAAACGAAATCACGTGGCATTACTTTCATCTGAAATTATCTGTTTCGTAGAAATGCCATTATAACAGCAAGATACTGAACAGAGGTAATGTGTGCCGTTTATGTGGTGCCCGTTGGTGTTTTTTGGACGAATGTATGCGTTTATAGTGCCTTCTTATCGAAGCGTGGCCCCTAGAATTTCCCGGTCGAGGATGCGAAGCAAAGGCTCTCTGAAAGTGGACAGTTATTTTCCGACTGTAGTGATCCCAATGCATAATAAGTCGGAAATAGACACTTGCCGACCCGGTATCCTACTGGTTCAAAATTTAGCATTCAGCTTTCGTAGGTCTCACGATTTGTAAACACGCAAGATTGTTATGTTTCCCAATAAACCATGCGTTTCTCGTGAGTTTGTAGAGTACGTCACGGATTGCCGGATGGCTAAAAGTAAATAACTGTCACAGGGCTGACTTGCCTATCCCCCAAGTTTAACCTGGTTACAGTGACAACACAAAGCGATGATGAGATCTATGTTTCTCGATCATCAGAAATTAGGTGATAGTTCTCATGCGCTTCACATGAGTGTCTTGTACATAATCAGCTCCTAACCTTCAACTCCTAACAAACAAGGGTTTCATGACTGTAGATACCCAACGCCCGCAAAATATGCTTCAGTAACATAATGATATTATCAACATAAAGAAGCCAACAATGCTATGAGTTCGGCGACGGTTCGAAGGCGTTCAAATGCATAGTGGCGAAGATTCCTTATAATCAATTATTTGACGAAAGGCTAAAAGTCAATACCACAGCAACCACGTCATCGCCATATTGCCTAAGATCAGAAGCTTCTTTTTTTCCAGTTCTGTTCACACGTTGTTTATGTCTGGAGAATTTTGTGTCATTTATGCCATAATATTTTTACTGTACAGTTATTCAAAATATCGTTTGCGATTTCAGAGTTACTACACATAATTGAAATAGGAAACTGCGGATCGCATGTGAAAAAATGTACGTGCGCAAATTCAATAAATCAAAAAGGGCTTTGTCCCGTCATCTTAGCGTTAAACAGCATCAACTCCCACAAAAAGCAGAATCAAAAGAATACCATCTTAAATGTTATGTTTATCTGACCGTGAATTTTACCGAAATTCTTTTTCATTTATGGAAACAGTGCGGCGAACAACGTCTACCTCATTCAAACGAATGTGAAATAAGCTTGTGTAGCTCATGATGTAACGTGCACTACTGAAACAGAAGTTTATGCCGGACCCATATTTTCGGCTTCGGTTCTGGTACTTGTTCACAACAAGTGGAAGTCTAAAAGCACGCTTTTCATGGAACGAACAGTAAAAAACATACCTATCAAATTGATTGTCTGAGTTGGTTTCCTATGGAGGAAGCTTCACAAAGGATAGAAAACATGTTCGTTGGGTTAGTGGGTCGTTGTTGCGCCAACCACCAGCCTAACGCTACCCATCACTACGCTCCCCAATGGAGCAATGATGATGTCACCTCGATTGGTGATGAACCGTTTGCCATCAAATTACCCAGCCCAGAGAACAGGCCAACGACCATCTACGCTGCCTGAACTACCAACATTTTCCTCTATTAAAAACATTGACAAGCTAAGAACAACCAGATGAAGAAGCTTTTGTCCTCAAGTAGCCACCGCCCGAACTTAGAAGTGCACTTTGGAGAGATACCGCCAAAGACACCTGGTATGTTCAAAGGATCCTGTCTATGAACGCTATTGTGAACCTGTTAACAGAAATTATTTGGGTTATTGTGCTGCAGTTGAAGAACATCATAAACAAGAGTTTCAGTCGAGTCCTTCTTGAAACCAGATTGACCTGTTAACAGAAATTATTTGGGTTATTGTGCTGCAGTTGAAGAACATCATAAACAAGAGTTTCAGTCGAGTCCTTCTTGAAAACCAGATTGAAATGCAAATGAGTGTACTCGTCAAAATAAAATCTGACGGAAATTCTGGAACTGCGTTTACCTGATCAGATCTAAGAAAGGCGAAGTTGGTCGTGAGCTGTCGAGGAGTTTTTTATTGGGAATAGTTTCGTTCACGGAGTAAGTCAGTCCTCTTCGTAAGAAAATTAAATGCAAGCGATTGATCCGCAAGGCAATGTCTATCAACTTCAAGTTCATTCAAAAAGTCGCACATTTACATGCATAAATGTTATTGGCTGAATCCCCAACTTTTCACACGCAGCGCGCGTTTGATTCCTCACTGTAACACCGTGCAACCGTTTGCAACGAACTTAGCGCTTGTTTTCCTCTAATCAGCAACGAATGGTGTCTTCAGTCTGACCACCTCAAACCTCACTTAACTAATGTAGCATTTTTCGATTGATTCTTATCAGTTAGCTGCTGATGAAGACCAAGTGCAGTTCACAAAACTTTAAAAAGCAAAATGAACTGCTATCCTAAAACAATAATCTAAAAGGTGTGAATAAGGAAAAAGTGCCAGAATTCAAAATTTGCCGTTTAAAAACTACCGCAAATCTGAATTGAAGCAAAGGCCATTACACGTGTTTGGATATCAGATTCTGCCTGTCCATCTGAAGATACCTTCTCAAATATCAGTACCCTGCGAACTTAGAAGCAGTAGATTTGTTTAACAGGTTGTTTCTGGTTGATATTTTTTGCCGGTCAAAGTGCGATTCCGATAACGACACTTGCAACCTTGCACTCGGGATGACATCATATTTTCCTAGACCATGAAACAAAATTCAGTGCCTACAATAATCCGATGCAAACTCTCAGAACAATTCGATTTATATCCTGTTTTGGTTCAGTCTTAGCGAACTCACCAAGGGTAATCTGCAGCACTTACCTTCCAAAATTTCGGCCCACTATGCAGTGCCAGTGTGTTGTGTATTTTTTATCAAACACCTTTTTGATGAACGCTGCAATTTCCTTTTCCACATGATACGATTCGATAGCCTGTTGGGCTTGATAAATTGCGTCTTGTTGCATTTCTTCAGACATATCCGCAGATTTGACCATAACATTCAACTCGGACATTTTTTAAAATCGAATGAACCGATCCGTTTTCAGAAACCGGGTTACATTGGTATCGTGTGCATTGCTGTTCAACTGCTTCCGATTATGTACACCTCAAACTTCGAACGCGTGTTTGGCATGGTCACACACTTCCAGAAACTAACCAATCGGAAACGCCGCCGGTTTCCTACAAAGTGCTGACCTGAATAACACCAATGTGTTTTGGTAGTCCGTAGAAAAAATGCGATACGGCTGCACAAAAATTATATCCTTGTCGGTTGCAAACATAAACTAGGTATTTATGGCAGTGTTATACTCGGAAAAAAAATCGTAAAAGAACAGGCATTGCGGACAGTTATGTAAGTGGACCGAACGACAGCAGCTAAGGGAGACTTTTGTTGACTTCACTTGATAAATGAGCTCTCTGGAATCATCGGAAATCTGAGATAAACATGCCATAGGTGCATACTTTTCAGAGCACAGAAAACAAAACGTGGGACTTCCGTAGTCGCTTAAACAACCTCCTAAGTTGACAGTGATGATTGACGTTATACGTAACCGGTCTCCTTGAATCTTTCACACTAACACCGGAGAATTCAAACAGTTCTATTAAAGCTAGATAGTTTTCATTCATTCAATATTGCATATAGCAACCATCAAATCTAAGTTCTATTTGAACAGCAAGCCGTACATGCTCGGCGAAGGAGATTTATTTGAGAACAGGTTTGGTTTTAACGGAGAGGGTACAGTAGACAAAAGAGAAATCAGACATTCAGCTGAGCATTTCATGAACAATAATACAATTAGCAAGTGAACGTGTGCTACAGTGTTCCACAAGGAATTATCATTATCTGCAATAACGAATTGGGGGGTTAATTTGCGGAAAGCAGGGTCACGGGATTAGGCAGTAAGACGAATAATGCATTTGAACATTGGTCATGTTCCACCAGTTGAAAGAATTATAGACATCACATATATGAAGATATTCTGAGCATCGCTTTGGTTTCCTAGAAGCAGGTTGAATCTTGATATTTCTAACAAGAGGTGAACTAATAGTGAAAGGAATAATGCCTTCGCTGCGTTGCTGTTTACCACAAAATGTCAACTGAACAGTTACAGACTGTTGGACAAGAAAGCAAAACTCTCTTGTGCATCTTGCTTACAAAAACTAAATATCCATCTTCTCCTTGAACGCATCTTCCTGGGTATTCATTGACTGTTGTTCAAATGCAAGTAAATATGACTCTACGAAATCATACTTTTCAAGAGACGTGAAGCGGATTTACGAGGAAAACCACTACTCGCATGCCCCCACATCATTAGTATCACAGTTACACCATTAGTATCGCTTCGCTTGCTGCCCGTTGAGTATCTTGTGAAACCAACCTCATTAGAAATGAGTGAAAAATGTTTATCGTGTGGACCGTTGAATCTCCTTCTTCTACTTGGGTGGAATTCTGAACAACAGAGCAGAACAATCCGAGCAGGGCCTGGTGATCCACCTAATCTTACAGTGTTTTCATTTAGGGTCATGGACTGACCGGAAAATTTTAAACAAGTATAGTGCTTGAAGACTCATCTTGAGAGTGATGTGTACTGGACATTCAGGCTTATGAATTAGGGCCGTCAGACGATAACTGCGCATTGCTGTGGTCAAAAAACGCAATCTGAATCACGTGCTATCTGGAGGAAGTGAAAAATCCACATTATAAAATCAAACCATAGAAAACCCGTTAGGTTGGTTTTCACCGTTAAAAATGCATATGAGTACATTTAACCTCACTGCACACGTCAGATGTTGCATCATAAAAAAGATGTAAAAGTTTCCATGGGTAGGGCAAAGTGTGATCGCATTTTAACATAGGACAATACGATTAATAGGGGCTTAGGATGGATATGAATTTGTATGTTTTATATCCGGTCATATGAATGCACAAATACTCAGGCGTCCCACAGCCGTAACAGTTTTGGTGATATTTTACTTTAAGCAAAGTTCCTAGAGTTATTTTAAGATCCCAATCGAACCATACACCAAACATGAACGACTTATATGAACGCTCGGTTAAAAAATTGATGTTCTTCGGGACAGAACTTATGATTCTGAGATCATTACATTATCACTTCGTTGAATTAGCCAATCAAAAGCATCCTCACCTAAACTGGCGTGTATGGCCTTAGTCTGGTTTTCCTTACGCTCCCCAAATATATTCACACCGTTGTTTGCATCCATTTAGACCAAACGAATGAGTAAAAGCTTGTCTGATATCCTTCACAGTTAAATGCATCATGTGAGAACAGACAATGATTTGAGCGTCTTCTGGGCACTCAGCAGGTGTCTAGTAAACTTGATCCAAAAGAAAAGTCATCCTATTTTGGTGGATATACGGTCTCCCAGAACGATGCGTTTGTTTGCCCGGCAGAGCAAGAAATTGTCGAAATGTTTTGGCGATTATTGTTCTGTTCATTTGAAACAATTCGATATTCTTTATAAATGACGAGATTTGAAGCGTAGTCGCGTCGACTATTCATGTTTTCAGTGAAGCCCCTGAAAATGGAATAGTTTGCACTTGGTTCTTGCCATTTCTCCTAGTGAGGAGTTTGGCTCTTGCAAGTGAGTGTGAAAGGTACCTTATGCCAATCAACTCCGAATCTATTTAGATTACATACATTAAAATCTGACCTTATTTTCTTGGCTGTCCTGTGTTTGCACTCGCCTAACACGGTAAGGCTTCTGGGTACAAGGTTTTAGCGTCACGGGATGTTCTTTTTTCAAATGAAAATTCGCGTAGGTTACTCCTTAGACCAACGGATAAATGTGCGAATTGACTTCAATCAGCATGGAGGTCGTAAACACCGATGAACGCCTTACCAGCAGGGACGGTCAATCAATCTGTTTTACGTTCCTAGGTAATATGGTGCTTAAAATTCCTAATTGCTGGCACCGGTAGATGGGAACGGATGTTTAGAGGTCAACCACCATCAGATCCAACGGAATTCAGCTAACACGTTAGCAGACTATGCTTCACTATTCAGTTGAGCTTTAGTTCCAGTAAATTTTCAAATGATTGTGCGTACAATTTTCTAGTGCTAATCAAGTATTTTTAGACTACTTTCACTAGCAGTGTAAATTACCCATGGTTCTAAGCGGTAGTGGAAGATGTATAAAGGTTGTGTTAACTTTCTGGTAGTCTCCAAACCTCAGCGTACATCAGGGATGAAAACTGGACAATCAAACGTATAATACCTTTTATCTAAGAGGTGATCAGATGACAGGTTTGCATAAACAACCTGAGTATTTGATTGTCCACTGTCACGATTTTTGACTTACCCACCAAATGGTCGTAGAGTGAATAACCTATAAATAAGTTTGGTCAGATTCGTTCGCATGTTCTTCAGGTCAACAAGAACGTGTAACCAGAAGTAGAAGGTTTGCGTGACTGACAGTTCTGTGCCAGCTGGCAGAAGTGTGCTAATTTGAAAGGTCAAATTCTCTTAAGACATTCTACAAGGCGTCTACCACTCACCCATTGTAAATGTTTTTACATGCGAAAAACGGCATCTTTATATTTTGATCCTTGGAAAACCGTACCACATTTATAGATTTACTGATCAGGAAAGATCGTGACTTGTCGCTCGTTACATCATCAGGTAGTCCTGTACCTCATGAGATTTAGCCATTCTAAACATGAAAACAATGCAAACGGCTTTGGCGTGATTAATATCGGCAGGTAATGAATGTGTATTCATATCACACTGATCCGTAAAATCCTTTGTTTGATCCGGTGAGATTTTGGTCTCAATTTTAGCGAACTGAAAAGTGTAACCGTAATTGAATTTTGACATCCATTTATTGAGCTGCAGTTTGTTAACCGACTGGGGCAAGGGGGCAAACATGTTGTTGGGTTGCTGTTTAGCTTCCGGGAATACCAGTTTTTTTAATATATACAATTACTGTAGATTTCAGTGATGAATGATGCTGTGCAGAAACTTCAGCGCAGCTCCTGAGTATACAGAAAATATACCGGATGAGGCACTTTTTGGAACTACTCTCCTTGACCTTTGCGAAATCCCACTGAGCTTTTCAAGGCCGTTTAAAGTGGGCTACCGTGTGCAAAAGAGGGCGCATAACTAACTCTTTGATTTTTTGTTTTCACAGTATCGTCAATCTTGTTGTCTGCTGGTCACTTTATCAGCAGTACCTAAGACGCACCATTTCGAAAAAACTGGTAGATTCCCGTAACGTGCTGAGAGAATAAGCTCGGACCTAGTCGTTGATTAGTTCTCTGCCGGTATCCAGCAAAACTCACGAAGCAATATTAGGTCCAAACATGTGGCACACGCTGTCCTTCAGCTTGAGCGTGAGATCGTTCTCGTCATTTGTTTACCTTTAAACAAATATGCTAGACAGGGAGTCGACGCAGCTTTATACAGTGATATTGTGTTCTCACTGAACGCAATCACAAATTCAATTATAGGCTTGCAGTTTTGTCAGAAGGTAGCAATTTCCTGTCAATTGGCGCAAAATGCTTCGTCCCCTAATCATATGGTTATTCATTTACCGAATGAAAACCATAGTAGACAAGAATATCGCAAGCGCAATCGGCAGACTGTTGAACAGCAAGCATTCACAGAAACTAAATCTAGCCAAGCAGATAAGAAAAGATATCCACTTATACTATCACGATGACTTACAAACATAAATTCTGAAAACTGCCAGTTTATTTTGAAATTGTGCGGTTCATTCTCACTTTGAGAAGACTCTCGGATTTTGCAGAAATATTTCGCTTGTCCTCAAAGCAGGACGAAATGTATTTTCATATCCCGAAAGTGCAGCAGAGGCTTGTTAGATCTAATGCCTTAGATTCAAGGCTGTTCCATGCTCCACATGGAGAACAGAGCACGGAACGCCGAACAAAAGCAAACTCAGGTTACGTGCAGAAATGTTTGACTTACCCACCAGGTGTTAAATTTGGAATCAGTCTTATCGGGATTGCTCTCAGATCGCCCGAAAACGAAGTTACACACTTAACCCAAAGACCGCGTGGATCACCATGCCGAACTACATCTGGTGTATCACCGCTTGAA